CAGCCCCAGCCCCAGCTCGGCTGCTCCAGGAAGTGAGCTCTGTTTATCCTCCCCCCGAGGGCCCTGACTCCTCCCAGAGGGAGTTGGAAGATGAGCCTTACGCACACTGCCCGACCTGGGGCTGCAGCTCCAGGGCCAAAGGCGGGCGCCGGAGCCCGTGCCTTTCTCGGAGCGGAAGGATGGAAGCCTGGAGTGAGCGTCCTCTGTCCTTTGAATTAGTTTGACCCCTGGGTTTGCTCTGAAGAACCTTGACCACCTGATGCTGCTCACATCTGGAGTTCTCTGACTTCTCATTCCCCAGATACGCCTCCCAGAGAGGGATGTCTACTGTTCTGTGCCTGCCACTTATGGCATTTGATAGAGGTGACACGGCGGTGAAAGAGATGCTGTCCCTTCCCTTTTGGAACTCATTATACAGATAATTTTATCTTTATTTCTTTTTCTTCCTCACTGCAAATGAGTTCACTGAGGTTAAAGACAACATTTTATTTAATCCGTCAATGGGGACAGAAATGTATGGTTAAGAGCATAGATCCTGCAGCCTTACTGTGTGTGTTCAAACACAGGCTCTGTCACTTAGGCACTGGGTGTCTGCCCTGAGACTTACTTGATCTCTCTAAGCTTCAGTTTCTTTCATACGTAAAATAGACAGTAATATGTGTATTGTAGAGTTTTGGTGAGGATTAAGTGAGGCAGAAGTTTAAACACATAGGAGACTGCCTGACAAGTAGTAAATACTTCAATTATAGTTATTAATGTTGAGAAGCTCCATTCCTAGCTTTTAAAAAATGCACTCAAAACAAATTTTGAATTATTAAGTTTCTGAAATGCAGGGAATAGAAATTCTTTTTTGTTTTGTTTTGTTTTTTTTGAGTCGGAGTCTCACTCTGTCACCTAGGCTGGAGTGCAGTGTCACGCTCACAGCCACACCACCGTCGACCTGCTGGGCTCAAGCAATCCTTTTGCTTCAACCTTCCAAGTAGCTGGAACTACAGGTGTGCGCCACCACTCCCAGCGAATTTTTTTAAAATTTATTGTAGAAAGAGGTCCCGCCATGTTGCCCAGGCTGGTCTAGAACCCGTGGACTAGCTATCCTCTCGCCTCCGCAGAAATTCTTTTAAAGTGGAGCTTAAAAAAATTGAAACTGATTATGTTCCAATTCAAATATTTACTGAGTGCTATCTGTTAGATAATCAATTCCAGATAATAGGTTAAAGTGGAATATAGCCATACACATATATATTTTTTTTAAATGTTATTCCCAAAGCATAGGAACTCTTTCTCATAAAGGCAGTTGTCATTTGTTTTACTTCTCTTTCACTAAAACTCCCAGCAGGTGAGCAGCCCTGCCCTTCTCATTCCTAACTCTCATTCTGAGTCCCCAGCCTGGACCAGCACCAGTATCCCCTACTCAGTCACTGGCTTTTATTCTGAAAGCCATTTTGCTATCGATGTGAGTGTCTCTTCTCGTAGACCTTCTTTTTTTTTTTTTTTTTTTTTGAGTTGGAGTCTCATTCTGTTGCCCAGGCTGGAGTGCAGTGGCATGCTCATGGCCGCTGTGACCTCTACCTGCTGGGCTCAAGTGGTCTTCCCGCCTCTGCCTTCCAAGTAGCTGGAACTACAGGCATATTCCACCAAGCCCAACTAATTTTTTTATTTACTGTAGAGATGAGGTTTCATCAAGTTCCCCAGGCTGGTCTCGAACCCGTGGGTTCAGGGGATCCTCTCACCTCGGCCTCCCAAAGTGCTGGGATTATAGGCATGAGCCGCTGTGCCCTGCTGAGACCATCCATTCTAATAGATCTAAAGAAAAGTTCATTCTTTGGCCCTTCCTCCTGCTTTCTTTTGGTTTTGCACCCTAAATTGTATCTACCTGGAAATGAGGACCCTTTATCTCTAAGACAATGCTTCTGCAACATTATTGTGCATATGAATTACCTGGAGATCTTATTAAAGTGCAGATTCTGAATCAATCTGAGTGAGACAGATTCTGCATAAAGAGCTCCAGAGGATGCCAATGTTGCTAGTTAGCAGACCACATAACCTTCTTTTTCAGGCATCTGCTTCTGATTTAAGTGGTTCCGGCTGATCGTGAATTTGTCCTTTTTCATCTGCTAATTTCACCCACAGAGCTCTGGGACCACAAGCTGTCCTGGGCTGCCCTCCTCACACAAGACTACCTTCCCTCAGCCCATCCACACTGCCCTGGAGTCTTGGCCTTAGTTGGAGACTGTCAGTGTTCTGTGTCTCCTCTGGGTTGCACTTACGCAGTGGATGGTCAAGGGTTTGCTGGAGTGTGGACACTGTATGCTCCTCTCCTTCACAGGAGAGCCTCAACTTTTAACCCTTTGACAAGAGATGTCAACTCTTACATCTTTTTCCTGTTCAAGAATATTTCCCTTTCTTGGATATCTAAAATAGCGTATTAGATGGAAGAAAAAACTAGAGATGTAATAAAATAAAAGTAGAATAGGGCCACATAATGTATTTTAAAATTTTCTAGTAGCCTCAGTCAAAAACAAGAAATAGATTAAATTAATTTTAATTTATTGTATCTAACCAAACACATGCACAATATTGTTAGGACATGTACTTTGTAAAAAAATTATTAATGAGATACTTTAGATTATTTTTTCTTACTAAATCTTCAAAATTCAATATGTATTTTATACTTAAGACATTATAACTACCTACATTTCGAGTGCTCAGTAGCCACAAATACGGTAATAGCTGACAACACAGCTCTAACTTAATGCTTAGAAGATCAGAAACTAAGCCTTCACTTTTTCTCATTGCATTTCTTCTTTTTTTCAACTCTATTGAGTTATAATTTATATTGAGTAAGTTATAAATTTTCAGCATACAATTCTGTGAGTTTTGACATGTGTTCAGCTTCATAATACATGAAGAGGACATTTTCATGACAGTTTAAATTTCCTTTTGTCCCTTTGCAGTTCATCCCCTTCTCACACTCCCGGTCCCTACCTTCCACTGATGTGCTTTTAAATACTACAGCTTTGTATTTTCTAAGATTTCATATCAGTGGAATCATATGGTAACTTATCTTTAATGTCTGAATTATTTCACTTTGCATAATGGTTTTGAGATTTCTCTTGTGTGTATCAGCCGTTTCATTTAATTGATTGGTAATATGCCATTGTATGGGTATGCCACAATTTGTTCACTCACCAATTAGCAATCTCATAGATTCTTTCCAGTTTGGGGTTACTACTACATTGCATTTGTGAGGCAGAAATGTTCCCTTAAAAGAATTGTGAATATCAAGTACAGTTTTACCTGAATGAAAGTGTGCATGTGCATGTTGGGAGAGATGAGGCAGACCTTCAGTTAACGCCACCATAATTATTTTTAATTTATCATTAACAATTTCATAAGCTAGCACATTTATTTCAATGCTCTAATTCCAGCCTGAAGTCCAACTATAAGTTCTGCAGTAGGTTTTAATATTAAATCCATTATAAAGTTAAATGCTCATTTCTTATGTGAGGAGCAGTGCTAAGGCCTGGGGTACATGGAAGATCAAGAGATTGGGCCTCTGCTCTCATAATGCTAATTTAACAAAAACAATAGACTCTCATAGTGCATTTGCCAAGTGGGATAATGTGGGTATGGTAGGAAGTAAATGCCCAGTTCCCATAGGTGTGATTGATTTGGTTAAACAGTGTCTCAGATAATAGGTGAATGCTTCTGTAATACTAATTAGTTCAGATGTCCAGGATTCAGTAATTTGTTAACAGTTATATTCTGTGCTCCCTTTATGGAGGTGAGGAATACAAAGGAGTAGGAAAGTCTTAATACTGTCGCCTGAGTGTCTCCATTCAGATATCAAATATCCACCACTTGGAGGAACTACTTAACCTCAGTTTGTACAACTATGAAATGGGTCTAAGAGACACTCATAACGTTGTTAGAAGGGATTATTGAGTCATTACATGCAAATAATTAAATTATCACTGTACTGTTGGTGTTGGTACTACTAGCAGGGCAAAGCTGATGACCCAATCTAGGACTTGTAGTTGCGTCACAGGGCACTAGATGGCAGCACCAAGGCCCACTTTTCCCCTGGCTACATTCCCCAGCAGTACCTCATTGTTATCTTGCTCAGTGTTCTGATGCTGTGCTGATGTCCAATGACCTTTTATCCCTCTTATCTGGAACACTGTCTCAGGTCCTTTCTCCGATGGGAGTGTTGTTATTGGCAGATAATTTTATTTTTTTAACCTATCAGGCACTTTATATGGAGGAAAAGTGGTACATTTTACAGGGCCTTGTGGTTGTGCCCACACTGATCACGTTTTAGATCAGCGTACATCTCCTTTGCTGGGAAACCAGCCAAAGAAAAGCTGAAGGATTCTACCTGCTCCTGGCCATTCTGTGGCCTGTAAAGTACAACAGGGTCATACTTGGGACCCAGGGCTATTGCATCTTCAAATATGCGGTGTCAGCTGGCTCTTTGGTGGCCCAAACATGCCTCCAGCAAGGCAAACAGAGCAAATGACTCTCAATGAAAATGACTCAGTGATGAAAACAGTTTAAAAAAAAGTCTAAAGACGTTTTCTTTGTGTGAGTTCAAACAAAGTATAATTTAACAACTGAAAACTTTCAAGAAAAATGAATAGAGAATAAAGATAGTATTTCTTAATGAGAATGTAAGGTCTAAGCTGCCCTACCTGACTCCTCTTCTCTTTATACATGGGCCCCCAAGGATCCTGTCAAATTTTATGACAGGCCCCGGCAAGGTCCCGAAAGCACTGGGTGTGTGCCTGATTTTTACAGCCTTTTCTACTCACTGTCTTTGGTTAAAGTTATGAGGTTGAAGACAGAGGTTTGAACTATGACCCCAAAAAGACTGAGTTATGACAACTCTACAACTTATAAGTTACATGATTTTGTAATCACTTAATGCCTCTATCTTCTCATTGAAAGACCAAGAATATGCTTCTTTATGCAGAGTTGTCCTGTGAAGGGGAAAGAAAGCAGGAGAATGTGATTTTAAATCACATCTGGTTACAGAAGAGTGAGTTGTAAAAATATTACCTTCTTTCAGGTTATTACTGTTTCATTGGATTTTTCTGGGAAGGGGAGCATGAGGGCGGGAGGGTTCTTCTTGTGTAGAGCAGAGCTGTTAGGAGATGGAAGTGTCTGCAAAATTAGCAAGACCTTTGATCTCAGAGATCAGATGCTGGAGAGTGATGCAAGGATTGTGTTAGAGATGAAGGAGAGAAAGGTCTGATCATCCATGGAGGATGAGGAGGTTCTGGCCTCAAAAGCTGTGCTAGCTGCTAAGAATACAAGCATGAACAAAAATAAAGCCTCTGGGCTCATGGAGATTACATTCCAATGGGAGGATTCAGACAAGTAAAGATCTGTATCAGGTGGTGATAAGCAGAAAGACAAAGCTGGTAAGTCTGTGGAGAGTGATTGTATGGTGGCTGTGCTTTAGAGAGGGTAGACAGAGCAGACCCTTCTGAAAGGGAATGAGTAAGAAGTGAGTGAGTCATGCAGATATCAGGGTGAAGGTCTGCCTTTGTGCCACGGACAGCAAATGCAAAAATCCTGAGACAGTGGTATGTTTTGGTGCTTTTGACATTGAGGGTGTGTTTTGGTGAGCTGAGGAAAAGTCAGACACAAGACCCCTCCTCCCCAGAGCCTCAGTTTGCCCCTCCACCCAATAGGATTAAAAGGAAATCATAATCGTTGCTCCAATGAGGGTGGAAATTGGTGTCTACTATGAGATGGGGGGCAGAAGGATTTTGGAAATTAGAATGAAAAGCCATTGTTACCCCAGATGTCCTACCTCTTTCTTTATTCAGGACGGGACAGTTAGCATCCCTTTATTCCCCCCTCTTTATTATCCTGACCCTGTTTTGTTTGCTCACTTACCTAGGGTTCTACAACTAGGAAGCACCTTAGACATCAGGGCAGGGCAGGCAGGAGCCAGGAGAGTCGCTACAATGACTTCAGCAGTACTGGTGGACATCCAAGAGGAGGTGACCTGCCCCATCTGCCTGGAGCTCCTGACAGAACCCCTGAGCATAGACTGTGGCCACAGCTTCTGCCAAGCCTGCATCACACAGAATAGTGACAAATCAATGATCAGCCAAGAAGGAGAAAGCAGCTGTCCTGTGTGCCAGACCACTTACTGGCCTGGGAGCCTCCGACCTAATCGGCATCTAGCCAACATAGTGGAGAGGCTCAGAGAGGTAGTATTGGGCCCGGGGAAGCAACTGAAAGTATTTATTTGTGCTGACCATGGAGAGAAACTCCAGCTCTTCTGTAAGGACGATGGAAAGGTCATTTGCTGGCTTTGCGAGCGTTCCCAGGAGCACCGTGGTCACCACACATTCCTCATGGAGGAGGTTGCCCAGGAGTACCAGGTAGGAGCCCAGGATGGAAGGAAGACAGGGAGGAACAGGGTCTTTGATAGAAGATTTTAACTTTTTATCATGCTATGATCTAATTTTTTGGTAGTCCTTTCATTTACCTAGAGGATAAACCTAGAAACTGCCCCTCCCCCCCAAACAGTAGAGATTTTATCTCTTACTTTCTGCACAAGATTGAGTAGAGAAAGTTTCAGGTAGCAAAAAGGGGATGTGGGTTGAATGTGGGAGATATATTGGCAATGAGGCTAAAGAAATTTAAGTGCTTTGTGATCAGGCACTTTCCCTAGGACAGCCTGCCTGTTCTTGTTGGTTTCCATTCCCTATGTATAAGAGATACATTGGTCTTTTCAGTTTTTCATCCTAGTCGAGAACAGTTTTCTTCTGAGGTCAGCATAATCTCTGCCCAGTTCATTCCATGTCTGGGTCCTGAAACAATTGAAAGCCTGACCCTTCTTAATCTGATGTGTTTCTTCCAGGAGAAGTTCCAGGAGTCTCTAAAGAAGCTGAAGAAAGAGCAGGAGGAAGCTGAGAAGTTGAAAGCTTTTATCAGAGAGAAGAGGTTGTCCTGGAAGGTATGAGGGACTCTTCTTGAGGGTGTCCTGGGACAGGAATTGGGGCAGGTCATGGCAGCCAAGTGCAAAGGGATCCTGGTTCTGTTTGTCCCCTGTTATGACTAGAAGAGCTTTCCTTTGCCTGGTCCTCTGATGCATCCCTTCCAAACAGGGAAGAGAGGGGGTCAGCTACATAGCAAACATAGCAAAAGTGCGTGTACCATGTTTTTGGAGATAATCATATAGGAGAGGAATCATGGCCAGAATAGTCCCTCATTCATATTTCTGGATTTTATTCTACAATTTCAGTCTCTTTGGCCTCCTGGGAATAACAGGTTAGTCACAGGCCAATAATTCCTAGCTCAGTACTCAAAATTGGAAAGGGGAGGCTGATGCAGAGACCAGGGAGGCTGCTTGGAAAACCTCACCCAGAAATCACAGTCTATATATCTACAAGGCCTAGATAAGGGAGCCTGGGAAGAGCTGGGAAAGAAAAGAAGGAAAGAACAGGTTCCACAGGCTTTCTCCTGCAGGCATTTACCCTTCCACTCCCAGGGAGGCCTGGCCCAAGAAACAAACCTGAGCCTGACTTCCCTGACTCCTGTAGAAGAGATCCTCAACCCAGTAGACTAGCATCCTCCTCTTCCCTGTTCCCACAGAATCAGATGGAACCTGAGAAACACAGGATCCAGACAGAGTTCAATCAACTGCGAAGCATCCTGGACAGAGTGGAGCAGCGGGAACTGAAGAAGCTAGAGGAGGAAGAGAGGAAGGGACTGAGTATTATAGAAATGGCTGAGGATGATCTGGTTCACCAGAGCCAGTCACTGAGAGAACTCATCTCAGATCTGGAGCGTCGATGTCAGGGGTCAACAATGGAACTGCTGCAGGTAAGGCTTGTGAAGGAGCCTGGGTCTGAGAGTCAAACAAAGGAGAGATTCGCTTTCCTTCCTTTCTGAGACACAGGACTAACATCCTGGTAGAGCAACAAGCACAAAAATTCCTTTGACCCTGTAGGGCCTTTCCCCTGTTAAATTGTTCAGAGGTATGAGGCAAAGTATAAGATAATTCAGAGCACAAATGCTAAGGGAAAGTCTTGTTTTTATTTATAAAGGGTGGCTCAAAAATTCATTTAATACTGTAAAGAAGGTCTGTTGTAACCTGTGATGTCCTGTGGAACAGTTTCTCAATCTCAGCCCTATTGACATTTGGGGCTGGATAATTCCTTGCTGCGAGGGGCTCTCATATATTGTGGGATATTTAACAGCATCCCTGGCCTCTACCCACTAGATGTCAGCACCACCACCCTAGATGTGACAACCGAAAACCCTTCCAGACAGTTCCGTACAGCCACAGGGAAAACACAGTGCTCCTCCAACTGAGAACCACTGTTCATTAGGTACCTTTTGACACTGGTGCTGTGTTGGGGATATGTTGGGGCTTTTTACTCAGCTTAGTCACAAGCAAACACATGCCAAACACAAGTTTTTTGAGCTTCTTTATGTAAGTACCAGCCCTTCTTTGCTTTGAGTCAAGATCTTCTCTAGGGCAGAATAATTTAACATTTTGCAGTAATAGGTATTTGATCAGGTCTTTGGGACTGAGCTCTGGTCTTTACATGTATGGGTTGACGGGTACAAGATACATAGTCTAAAGAGATTTGAGGGAGGAACTTGAACTGTGGTTGAGCAGCTGTTTTCCTACATAGAATGAATAGTGTGGCTGTGAATTTGAGGTGTGATGTGATAATTTGGAACCTTCAGGGTGTTTCTTATTTGTTTCTTGTCTTCTGGCTTTCCTCTTGCCCTTCTTTGCTGGTGGAATAATTATTTCTTTACTTGTTCTTGGGTTCCTTATTGGGGCCATGTGGTAGTTACTTTTCATCTGTTAGAGCTTTTCCTCATCTACTCCTTCCTGCTTCGCATCTTCATTTTGTCCTTCCTGCCTTTTTGTCCTCATCTTTGATATTAAGTTACCCTAATACTTTCTCCTTCACCCTTTTGTTGTAGTTCCTCAACAGATTCCTCAAACTGTAAATATTTATCCTTAAATGCAAACAAATCATCAATTTATATTGCTAGTTTCAGACAGTCAGTATGACTCCCCATGGACATTTTAACTTGAGTGTTATCTAACAATCAATATCCTAAAGTTCTTCTGTCACAGACATATTCTTCCTTCTCTTCCCCATATCTGTGTGATATTGTTACCCATTCAAATTTGATAACCAGGATATGAGCTTCAAAATGCAGGTGCTGACATAAAGCCAACATAAGTGAAATAGCCATGAAGTGGCACACAGATTTCATTATTCACATTCCTCTGTGTAGCCACAATTTAAGATTGATTGTATTTAGTGCAAATTGACACACCCAGCACCTCTACCACTTTCTGTGTTCAAGCCAGTCTGAGTTGTGCTTATGAAATGCAACCATAAGTAGCCTCAATACAGAAAAAATAGTTACTTTTGAGTTTTATGGATCACACGTTGGACTTTTTTCCCAGGGTTATTTAGGTGTACTGAGCAGAAGGTAGAGAAATCAAAAAGAAGGCAGTTGGGTAAATCTACTGAACTAAAACCAGGAGTGGTGGTGATGAAGGTGAACAACAGGTGGCTAAACAAGTTAAGGTGTGAAATGGACTGACTTGAGCAAAGACGAGATGACAGGATGAATATATGCTAGTTTTTAAAAATGTCTTTAAATTTGGTGACTCAGTGGATGCTAGGGTTATTCAGGAGGATAAGAGACAGCATGGTTACAGAAATAAGTTTTTTTAAACATCATGACTGTGAGGTTCCTGTTCATTTGCTGGAGTATGTATTGATCTGGATCATAAGGGAGAGGGGTCTGAGAAGAAGTGCAGATTTGGGAATCATCAACACATGTAAATTGACATGAAGGGAATGGATGGAGTCAGTAAAAGTAGGACAGAGGGCTAGAGGAGGTAAGGTTTGAAAACAACCACATTTGAGGCCTGTGAGCTTATCTTTGGCAACCAGAATAGAATGTAAGCTACTCAAGGACAGAAATCATGACTTTGTTGTCTGATATTCTCTTGGGCCAGACACAATGCCTGACAAGTAATAGATGCTGTACATACAGAACATCACACACACACACAAACATACACACACACACAATTGTAAAAATAAAGGTATTAATGAGTCAATCTGGTTGTTTTCTTATGTCTTCCTGGGAATTCTCAGTCTGCCCTCAGCTTTTATCTCTATTTTGTGACCTCCACTTTGGGATTATCTTTATTCTATCATATTATACGGTGGTGGAGATGGAATGGGTAATGTGGATGAGAATGCAACCTATTATTCCTTGACTTAACCTGTCTTTTTCCTTTGTAGGATGTGAGTGATGTCACAAAAAGGTACGTCTAAGAGAAATGAGTTGTTTCCTTTGGATTGAAAAATAATTTCAGTATGGTCAGTGGGGAAGGGAAAAAAAACTTATTGGGCAGGGAAGATTTAAGACTGTGGTCTTAAATTACTCATCACATAAGAATTTGAGGATCACAAAATAAAGGGAATGAATTGGTTTCTGTGGTAGGAGAATTTGGGTGATGAGAGGTCACAAATTGAGGACAGTACTGCCATTAAGAAAGGGTTGCAGTGTCAGTGACTCCCCAAGTGCCCTGCTCTTAGCCCTGATTCTCATAGATTATAGCTATCTCAAAATACACAGTATTTTTTTTTCTGCCCTTGTATTTCATCAGAGGAAAATCCCCCTCTCCATTGGTTATCAAGGTCCAAGAATTTTTTCTTGGAGCATCTACCTTAAATTTCTCTTTCTCCCAGGTTTTGCTACCTAGTTCTCTTCAGATTCCTTTTGTCTAGATACAGGTAAAATATAAACCTGAGTTCTTGATAATAGTAGTGTTGACCCTGGAACAAAACATGTTCTCTTCTCTATCATATACTCTAAAATCTCATCTAACAAGGTGGCATCTAAAGTTGCCCACATCCTTGGTATAATACCTTCATGCTCATCACAGACATGTGAAATATGGTGCCTTCTGTCCCTTCTGAAGTCTTCACTCTCCGTTTGGAGATGAAGATATCTCCTTTCTCCTGCTAATGTGATGTACTCAGAAACAGTAAATTCCAAGATGCTGTTTTGAAGGCCTTTCTCCATTGGGTTTCTGAGAAACCAGAGAGCCTAAATTCACATGCTCTTCAAAAGGAAACCCTTCATTTGATACTCTCAAAGTCCCAGAAGCAGTTTCCTGGTGTTATGCCTGTCAACCCAGACATCTACAGCCTCCCGGCCCCTCTGATTTTAAATATTTTGTATTTTTTTAATAGGTGGCAAAGGATCTCCTGGCCATTATTTTACTTAATTTCATACTATCTCTAGGATATAGAAAGAAAAAAAAAGAAAAAAGAAAATACATATGTATATTATTACAACAACAACAGAAAAAGAAACAAACAGAATGAGGCCTTAAAAGGTTAAATCACTGGTGGTGAGAAGCTAGTTTCTAGTCTAGGTCTTCTGGCTCTAGTGCCAAGGCTTTTAGCAAAATGATGCTTAGTTTCCTCAGGAAAGAATGTTGGAATTATTGATTGGCCTGGGGAGTGAGGGGAAGAGATGGAGGAACCCACAGTCAGCAGTGTGAGGGTTCATAGGTCTTTCCTCTCTAGGAGTGAGTTCTGGACTTTGAGGAAGCCAGAAGCTCTCCCCACCAAGCTGAGAAGTATGTTTCGAGCCCCAGATCTGAAAAAGATGTTGCGAGTGTTTAGAGGTAAGGAGATTCAGGGGAAAGAGTTTGGATGTGGAATTACTGTTGTGGGAAACAATAAACAGAATGAAGGATGTAGTCCATACTTGGGAATAGCAGCCAAGAGAGAGGTCCCAGAGGAAGAGACATGGTGGGCTGAAGAAGATGCAGTATGAATTTAAGGGGAGGTAAAATGGCCAGTTGACATCCTCCCAGGATCCCCTCTCCATTTCCTTCAATCTGATAAGGAGAGATCAGACCAGAAACCATTGTTCCTATTCAACATTATTGACTCTTTTCATCATTACAGAGCTCACAGATGTCCAAAGCTACTGGGGTAAGTAGGAACCATGACCTCTTTGAGCCTTCACATTCTGACCCCATTTTACCACTCCTCCTAAAACATACCCACGCACATTTTCAGATCCAATATGTTGTTATCTCTCTCATCCCCCACCATGTAATTCCATGCCTCCAACCCCTTCCTGTGTTCCCCGCTCTCAGCACCCAGAGACCCACATAATCATTCTCATCTGATAATGCTGTATCTTTTCTTACAGTGGATGTGACTCTGAATCCACACACGGCTAATTTAAATCTTGTCCTGTCTAAAAACCGGAGACAGGTGAGATTTGTGGGTGCTAAGATGTCTGGGCCTTCTTGTCTGGAAGAGCATTTTGACTGTAGTGTCCTGGGCTCCCAGCATTTCTCCTCAGGAAAGCACTACTGGGAGGTAGATGTGGCCAAGAAGACCAACTGGATCCTGGGAGTGTGCAGCCATTCAGTGGGAGCTACATTCTCTTTCAACCAGTTTGCTAGCAAGCACAATGCTTACTCCAGATATCAACCTCAGAGTGGATACTGGGTGATTGGGTTACAGCATAAACATGAATACAGGGCCTATGAGGATGCTTCCGCTTCCCTGCTCCTCTCCATGACAGTGCCCCCTCGCCGTGTTGGGATTTTCTTAGACTATGAGGCTGGCACTGTCTCTTTTTATAATGTCACAAACCATGGCTTTCCCATCTACACTTTCTCTAAATATTACTTCCCCACCACCCTTTGTCCATATTTTAATCCTTGCAACTGTGTAGTTCCAATGACCCTGCGCCGTCCAAACTCATGAACATTCTGCTGTTCGCATCCACATCTGATCAGTACCCTGATTTTCCGTTTTGGGGTGTTCTCACATCTTTACTTTTGAATGTTTACTAGGATTCACCTACTGATAATAGTGAACATCCTTACCGATGATGGGTCCTGAGGTGGGTAGGGGGTCTAGAGGTGGGTAGGGAAGCTTTGAACATTTTGTCATTAAGCATAGTTGATGGAGGCTTTTGGGTTGATGCAGGGGATCAACTTGGGAAATTATCTCCTATTAAATATACTACTAGTTTTTGTAGTACACAGAAGTTGAATTTAACAGATGTCCTTTTTGAAAATTATTTAGATGTCCTTTTTGAAAATTATTTAGATAATTGTATGTCATTTTTATTCTGTTATTGTGACTGAGTACATTGATTTATTTCAGTTGTTAAATCTACCACAAATTGCTGAAATAAACCATAACTATTTGTTATATGCAATTATGGATTTGTTTTTGCTAGCACATTATTTAGGTTTTATTTTCCTCTATGTTAGTGAAATATATTGAACTGCAATTTTACATTCCTATAATTTTGTCGGGTGTTATAAAATGCAATAATGAGCAAAGAAATTGCTGTGGGTTTTTTGTGTGTGTGTATGTGTAAGTATATATATGTAGGATTGAGCTATCTAAGAGCAAACCATTATAATATTACTTTGGGCTATTTTAAATAAAAATTGAAGAAAGATTTTAACTCTAGCCTTCACACAGGCTTCCCCCACAGTGCTTCAACCTTTATCTATAAATTTAAGAGTAGCAATTGAAAATTTAAAAATAAAATGTATTTTTTCAAATGACTTGAAGTTAAAAAAGAAAAGAGTAAATCCAATATAGATTTTTCTTTCAGAATGGGAAGAAAATGGAAAAAGAAAATATGGTTAACATAGAGCACTTACAGGAAGAGGAAGATTTCTTCCAGCTTCTCCACACCCCCTTTTCTTTATGCTCAAGCACAAATAACTGGTGAATAAGCTGCTCTGACTTTGGCAGAGGTGCTATATGCTTTTTGAGACAAGTATAAAAGAAATTCTGAGATGAATGAAAGGATGGAATCAAATCCAAGGAGAATACTAGTATTCTCTGTCCCATATGGTAGCCAGAAGATACCAGTTGTGATTAAGGACTTCACAAATGACTATTCTGAATTAAGCTGTGATGTACGTGTAAAATACACATTGGATTTCAAAGACTTAGCTAAAAAATAATGCAAAGTGTCTCACTAATAACTTTTACACTGTACATTGCCATGAAAATATTTGGGATCTATTGGTTGTAATAAAATATATTATTTATTTCAGCGCTTCCATTTTAGTTTTTTTTTTTTTTTTGTCCCCCCCCCATTTTAGTTTTTTGATGTGAATTCTAGAAAATCTAAAATTACACATGTGGCTCACATTTTATGTCTATTAGACAACTAGAGCTGCAATGAAATTTCTGTTCTTAAGAGAGCCCTATGGACCCTGAGTACAGAGAGGCTTCGAGATACATATACCCATCTCTACATCTCGTACCACCCCATATCTGCCCTAAGATGGTTTTTCATTAAAGGTGATGGCAGAGAGACAAAGATCTCAGCTTATCTAGAAGTTAGAATTTTGGAAGATCTTAGGAAGGGATCATGGCCAGATAACATGATTCTGCCTACTCTGGCCCTTGCCTTTTGTCCCCAGTGTCTTGGGCACTTGAAACCCCTCCCTGGTTTGAGGAAATACCGACTCCTTCTTAGGACCCAGCTCTGGTGTCTGTGGTGAGATGAAGAAGTGCAAGTTATAGTGAAAGCCCAGTACTGGTATGCTCAGCATTTTATTTGGGAGATCATATCTGTGGAAGTTCAGAAACTAGGTGCATACTTATTGTCTGCACTTCAATTGGAAAAAACAGGAAAGGTGATGGAGCAGGCAGACTGGGGCCCGTGGAGCTGGTGGAAGTTCATGGAGAAAGAGATCTGCTTGAGTGGTTATGTCCTTCCAGATTATTTTTCCTGCAGTAAAGGAGCTATCCCAGCTCTCCTCTATCTGTAGAATAAACCTCAAGTAAATCCACTTGGTGCATCCAAGAAGTGAGTGGCCTTAGATAATAATGAAAGCAAAAATACTTAGTCACATTCTGTAGGTAATACCTGGGGAAGATTGCCCAACCTAAGACACATGTAATAATTATTACTGTAAGTTTGCAGGCCTAACCTTTTCCTGAGGGGTAGGTAGAGGAAACCACTAGGAAAAAGAAATCCAAAATCATACAATGGATCAAATACTAAAAACACTTATTTCTTGTGTATGTAAAAAAAATGTGTATATATATATATTTTTTTAATTAATTTATTTATCTCAATTATGACCAAAACTAGTGAATGAGTGGTACAGTTCCATGTAGGATTCATGGGCTTGGCAGTAACCTAGGACATCCTTATCAGCATCAAGCAGGCAGAAAGGTAAAGAAAACTTTGAGGAGGCAACTTCCTTTTTAAATCCTTAGTTCATAGATGGGATTAATAGTTTCTGCTTAGTCTGTTGTTGAGAATAGCCATGGGGCCTTACCTAACTGCAAAACAGATTTTTTAAATTTCTAGCCCTGTGTAATCATTAACAATCAAATTTCAAGGTGGAGACAGTGGTTTGTTACAGGGGTTACTAGAAGGAGTGCCAGGATCCATAAGTAACCCTTTATCATTATAAAGGATTGAGGATCTCATCTTTTTTGGGGAGCTACATTAATTTCACTCCATAGCTGTCCATTTATAAAGGAAAACAGCATTTCTGTCATCAGATTTCTAGGCATGTGGTACCTTTATCCTAATATTTCCCAACAAGTGAATGCTTGCTAGAGCTGGCATTTAATTTTGATTCTAACTTCAAAGGAAAATTTTTTTGTTTTTTTTTTTTTGAGAGGGAGACTTTCTTAACATCTTTATTGTGATTTAATTGATATACAATAAATTTCACATATTTAATTATGCAGTTTGATAAGTTTTGACTTAAGAAAACATCACCATCAAAGCAATATTGGGTAATCCCTTCGGGTCCCTTCCCACTGTGGGAACTTTTCTGTCCCCTCAATAAATCCTGCTTTCTTTTTTTTTTTCTTTTTTTTGAGTTGGAGTCTCACTCTGTCACCCAGACTGGAGTGCACTGGCCACTCCCGGCCACCGCAGCCTCGACCTGCTGGGCTCCGGCCATCCTTCCGCCTCAGCCTTCCAAGTAGCTGGAACTACAGGTGCGCACTACCACGCCCGGCTAATTTTTTGATTTATTGTAGAGATGAGGTCTCGCCAAGTTGCCCAGATGGGTCTCGAACCCGCGGGCTCAGGCAATCCACTCACCTCGGCCTCCCAAAGTGCTGGGATTACAGGCTGAGCCACCGAGCCTGGCTAATCCTGCTTTCTTTAAAAAAAAAAAAAAAGCGATATAGATACCTACCATTCCCAAAATTTCCTTCTGTCCTTTGTAATTCCTCCTTTTTCTCCCTCCCATCCCACTGCTATCTTCTAGTCAACACTGTTCTGCTTTTTGTCACTGTAGTTTGCATATTCTGGAGTTTTATATAAATGGAATCATAGAGTATTGACTGGTTTCTTTCATCAAGTTGTTGCTTGTATCAAATGTTAATTTCTTTTTTATTGCCAATAGTATTCCACTGTAAGTATATGCAACAATTTATCCCTTCATTGGTTTTGCAAAATGGGTATTTTTTTTCCAGTCTTTGTCTATTACAAATATTGTTTGGCCTCCCTTTGGTCCCCACTTTGCTTAGTTGCACCTTTATTGATGTTGTGTTCTCCCACCACCACCACCCTGGCAGTATCCTGCTACTACCAGTCCCTTTCTTAAAGTATTATGGTAAATGTTCAGGGTCCACTTACGAGTGAGAACATGTGGTACTCTGTTCTTTGTTTCTGTAAAAGATCACTGAGTATGATAGACTAAATCCATCTAAGTTGCTGCAAAGTCCATATGTCTGTCCATCTTTATGACTGTGTAATATTCCATTGTGTATATGTACCACATTTTAAAAATCTAGTATAGTTTCAATGGCCAGCACAGTTGGTTCCATGGTTTTGCTATTGTGAATAGAATAGCTGCAATCAGCATGCATGTGCAAGTATCTTTTTTGTATAATGCTTTGAGTTCCTCTGGGTATATTCCCAATAGGAGGATTGCTGGGTCATATGGAAGGTCAGTTTCTAGTTCTCTTTTTTTTTTTGAGTCGGATTCTCAGTCTGCACCCAGGCTGGAGTGCGGTGGTACACTCAGCCTTCCAAATAGCTGGAAATACAGGTATGTACCACCACGCCAAGCTAATTTTTTAAATTGATTTACTGTAGAGTCGAGGTCTTGCCAAGTTGCCCAGGCTGTCTTGAACCCCTGGGCTCAGGCAATCCTTTTGCCTCCGTCTCCCAAAGTGCTGAGATTTCAGGCGTGAGTCACCGCACCCCACAATTTCTAGTTTTTTAGAAATGGTCACACTGTTTTCCATACATTATTTGATTTTCTTTTTTTTTTTTTGAGTTGGAGTCTCACTTGGTCGCCCAGACTGGAGTGCAGTGGCCGCCCCTGGCCACCGCAGCCTCACCTGCTGGGCTCCGGCAATCCTTCCATCTCAGCCTTCTGAGTAGCCAGAATTACAGGCGTGCGCTACCACGCCCGGCTGTTTTTTTGATTTATTGTAGAGATGAGGTCTCGCTGCCCAGGCGGGTCTCAAACCCGCAGGCTCAGGCAATCCACTCACCTCAGCCTCCCAAAGGCGCAGGATTACAGGCTGAGCCACCGAGCCCGGCTCATTACTTGATTTTCAAATGTTAGCCTAACTTTACATCAGTGGGATAAACCCCACTTGGTCATAATGCATTATTCTTTCTATATATTGTTGTATTTCATTACTAAAGTTTTGTTAACTATTTTTTGCATTGAAGTTCATGAGGAATAGTCTGTTGTTTATTTGTTTTGAGACAAAGTCTTGTTACATTGCCCTGGCTGGTCTCAAACTTCTGGTCTCATGCAATCCTCCTGCCTCAACCCTGAAAGGAA